AAAACATGAAAGGGATTTTTACTGGACGTATACAGAGGAACCGCATCGCACGAGGAGAATGGCAATCATTAAAGCGCATCCTGAAGTTTGTCTCCCCCCTCCCTGTCCCCCTCCTTTCCCACCTTCTTATCCCCCTTCCTAGCTAACCCTCCCCCCAGGTAACGAAACTCTGCGGACCCGAACCCCTAACAAAATACCTCGTCCTCTCCGTCGTGCTCCTCCAAACCATCACAGCCTACTTACTGCGCAACACGCCTTTCTGGAGCTGGACCATGTGGGGCACGGCATATGTGATCGGGGCGACGGCGAACCAGAATCTGTTTTTGGCGATCCATGAGATTAGCCATAATCTGGCGTTTAGAAGCGCGAGGGCTAATAGAGTACTGGCTGTGGTGGCGAATTTGGGGATTGGGGTTCCTTATAGTGCGAGTTTTAGGGTGAGTGGGCTTGTTTCTGTTTGCGTTTTTGGGGTTGGAAGAGGGAGAGGGGGCGGTGTCTTGGGGAGTAGTGATGGAGAAGAGAAGAGGAGAGTATATGCTGATTTTATCTCGGAATAGCCATACCACCTAACGCACCACAAATCCCTCGGCGTCGACGGTCTAGACACCGACCTCCCCACCTCCCTCGAAGCCTTATTCCTCGACTCCATACTCGGAAAAGCATTCTTCTGCACCTTCCAGATCCTCTTCTACGCCGTACGGCCTATCTTCATCTACCAAGTCCCCTTTACCTCCGTCCACATCTTCAACATCGCGACACAGCTATCCTACAACTACCTACTCGTTCATTTCTCGTCTTGGAACGCGCTGTGGTATCTCATCCTCAGCTCTTTTCTGGCAGGGAGTCTGCATCCGTGTGCGGGCCATTTCATCGCTGAGCATTACCTCTTCGACGCTCCCACGGCCTCATCCCCATCCTCTTCGGCTAAGGATGGGAAAACCGTGCAAACAGATCTCCCAGAAACGTTCTCCTACTACGGAATCCTGAACCTCGTCACCTACAACGTAGGCCTGCATAACGAGCACCACGACTTCCCCGCCGTGCCCTGGAGTAGACTGTGGGAGCTACACCGCATCGCGAACGAGTTCTATGTGGATTTACCCGGGCATAAAAGTTGGGTTAATGTGATCTGGCGGTTTATTGGCGATAAGGGCGTGGGGATGCGGTGTCGCGTTAAGAGGAGGGAGGGGGGACGGCTTGTGGGTGGGAAAGGAGGGGCTTGGAAGGATGCCGAGTTGGAGGTTTTGTGATGGTGTGGTTGTTAATGTGAGGGAGTGTATGTGTATATAGGGGAGGGATGATGAGATGAGATGCATTTTCTGGCGTTTTCAAGGGCGGGGGAATAGAATGAATAGAATGGAATAGGAAATTAGATTGTGCGTGCGAACCCACATAGGTACCCTACTCCCTAGCATAGCACACAGCATAGATAAATTCCAACAGAGCTATAAGAAATCGAACCAGCGAGCCACGGACAGGAGTTACTCGCCTTGCCTCTCCGTACCTTGGATCTCAAGAGCTTACTCCGTAAGTAGATACAACTTATAGTACAGTATAGTATCACGGATCTTGTACTCGTACCGAGCATCCAGTCAATCGGTCGTTATAATTTCCAAGGTAATGAATGGATGAGTGTATCTTAAAGAAGGGCCCTCACTGAGATGAGATCAGGGGGGGGGGGGGCACTTGATAGTTCCGAGGGAGCATTTATTCGAGTGCCTATGAACGGAGTAAGTGCTCTCCGTAAGCTGTTGGATCTCCGGGATGCGATGCGTTCAATTGCATACATAGATACAATCCGAGAAGGAGGGTTTCTGAAGTGGCCCTGGGCATGAAAGACACAGCCCCTGAGGGGCAAACGGAGCATTTGGTGGTCTTGTAATAGAGTGAGTTAAAAAGCATACGTAAAGGTGAATAGAGTACAAGTGTGCAAGAAAATAGGAAATAGGAAATGCTCTTTGTCTGGTTCATGTGGATTATTCCTATTATCCATTCGCCCTCATCAACGTGAAGGAATACACGCCCACGCCCACGCCCTCCTCCACTCATGAGCCCCATCTATCCCCATTTATAAACTTCTCTCTTTTGCCACTGCATCTACTCACTCGCTCCATTTACACTGTCGTCGCTCCTGCTACCGCTCATCATACACCAGCGCCCCGCATTTCCCAAAAGCTCATCAAAAGAAAACATAAGCCAGAAGAAAGCTCAGCAGACACAGCGCAGCCACAATCTGTAAGGGCACTCCTTGACTCGCACTGGCCTGCATCTTGTGCGCCAGCTCATTAACCGTCTCATTGCTCGTCTCACCGTTGGCTACCTTTCTCAGTCGCACACCGCCTTCCTGCGTGTATGATGCGATTGTAGCTTGTGCTTCGGCCAGCTTGGCTTTGATCTCATCGTAGGTGGCTGCTGGGGCGGGCGATTCTTCGAGCTTGATCGATGGCGCGAGACTGCGGCGGGAGGTCGTTTCGGGGGTGAATGTTTGTTCGGGGGAGGGACTGCGTTGGTTACTATAGGCGGGGGGTGCGGTGTCGGGGGTGTCCTGGGAGAATTGTTAGGTTCTTGAAGGCTGGGATGGGGGAAAGGGAGACTTACCGCGCCGTTCGGGCCGCTTATGCTTTGTCGGAGAGGTGTTGAAGTTGCGGCTAGGCCATGTGGTTGTAGGTACACGACTCGGATCTTCTTCTCTTGGACAGATGCCTTGTCGGCGTCGTCAACATGCTGCCACTTCCTTTGTTAGCTGGTTTCGCAGGAATCTTGATGGGTGGGGTATTTACGATTGAGCCGGTGTTTGTGAACTCCTTATCAGCAGTCACTGCTACGGACTGGACTAAGAATTTGTCTCTGCATTTCGCATCCAAAGGGGGCTCCTGTTTCATTGCCTGGAGAAGGACTGTGTGGGATATATCAGCACCAAGACATCTGCGTGCCAAGAACTGCACATACCAGAGACCTCGACCTCCTTTCCTGGCTCGATTCGGCCGGAGTTGGGGCGGACACAGTATCTATTCGACTTTTAGAGATATGTCTTGGCTAGGGAGGTATGCAACATACTGTTTAGGCGCGGTAGTCTTGACCTGTAGAGAAATGGCATGTTAGCATTATTGCTTTGTGTGCAGAGGGGATACAAACACATACCTTGAAAGCAACAGGGGTGGAATTAGGGTTTCTGATCTTGAGGTTTTGCGACACCTCGGTGGTGAAGGGGCCTGTAAACAGATTAGGAACGCCCTCCTCTCCTCCTGTACGGATAAAGCCACGTACGAACAAAACCAAGCTCCTGGGGATCAATTTCGACGGACATTTTGGCGGATGGTCAGAGCTGTGCGAGGGTGTGAGGGGTGGTGGTTGTAATTGTGGTGGTGTTGTTGATTTAGGTGTTGGCTTGGTAAGTTGATCCACGCTTTCTTCGGAAACTCGCAAAGAAGGGGATAGAGGAGCAAAGAGAGGGCGAAAAACTGATTAAGAAGAGAAAGATTTCGAGTGTATATGTGAATCCAAAGGATGTGGGGATTCAATATGAAGTGGTGTTTTCGTTGCGCAAGCTCGGGCTTTTTTGAGGAGGAGTAACTTGACATGACTTGAAGACAAACCATCCATCAGCCATGCCATTCCATCCCAGACTCGCTTACCGGCTCCCTCCCGTGAGCGTGAGGTCATTTATGCTATTCGCACCCCACGCCGCCCCGCCCCGCTACGACCTTTGGCAGCAACGTAGTGCACAGCTTAGAAATAATTACTGACTTTCCGTTCAATCATTTTATTACCAACATCTAAGAACAATACAATAAAATACTCATCTCTTTTCATCTTTGACCTTACCCTCCAGGCAAATATTACAGCAAACCCCGACAAACATCACGCCATGGCTTCCTCCGATCTGAGCGTCCTCAAGGACATGGGTTTCGATGCCCAAAGAGCCGAGATAGCTGTCAAGAAGACAGGTGGATGTAAGCTCTTTTGGGACCTATCTAATTCGAGCCAGTCCTAACAATACCTCTCACAGTGCAAGGGGCTTTACAGTGGCTTGAGGATAACCAAGACAAGACCATCGAAGAGATCACTGCGAACGCACCCTCAGCCGAATCCGAAGAGACAGACCCAGCCATCGAGCCCGAAGCTTTGAAGGATGGCGAGGTTGCAAGATCAATGGTGTGCAATATATGCCAGAAGAAGTTTAGGAGTATGGCTCAGGCGGAATTCCATGCTTCGAAGACGTGAGTTTCCATTGCGGGGTAATTATACCGAGTATTCATACTGACAATATCCACAGCGAGCACGTCGATTTCTCCGAATCTACTGAAGAGATCGCCCCTCTTACCGAAGAAGAGAAGAAGCAAAAGCTAGAAGAACTCCGAGCAAAAGCTTCAGAGAGGAAAGCCAAGCAATCCATCGCCGACAAGGAAGAGCAGAAGAAGAACGAGGTACCTTCCCGCCAGCCCAATCCCCCTTCTCCTCTCCCATGCCCAACACTAACACCCCCTCCAGAAAATCCGCATGAAATCGACTCGCGAAATCCAAGACGTAAAAGAAGAACTCGCCAAACAAGAACAGATCAAAGCAGCCTCCGCAAAGCGTGCCGAAAAAGCCGCCGACATCGCGGCCAAGAAACGCATCCAAGAAAAGATAGCCGCAGACAAAGAGACGCGCCGTCTGAAAGCTGAGACCCTGAAAGCTGAACGCGAAGGCCGCGCCGCTCCTGCGGCCCCTGCATTCGAGCACCCCGTAGCGCCGACGGAGAAGAAAGTAAACACGCATACGGAAGCGAGGTTGCGGTTGCAGTTGGCCACCGGGGGAACGGTGATGAAGACGTTCGGGGCGGATACTACGCTGTTCGAGGTCGCGGAGGCCGTTAAGGGGGAGAATGGCGGGAGCGTGGGGAGTTTTACCATGAATTTCCCGAGGAAGACGTTTGAGGGGAGTGTAGATTTTGGGAAAACGGTGAAGGAGGCGGGGTTGGTGCCCTCTGCTGTCCTAATTGTGAAGTGAACTGTTCTCTCATTGGGGACCTTAAAATCAATCTCGCATGACATTTTCCTCGGCTCGAGGCTGGCTGTGGTGTGAAAGGAGTTGCTTGCTTGGGTGATTGGATTACATTGATTGCATTTACAAACAAATCAATGGTGGGATCGGCTTGGCTTGGCTTAACGGCGTTGCGGTGCTTTATACTACAAAACTCTTTCTTTCCTTGGTCTAGTTGAATCTGGCTGGCTTCTACATTTGCCTCTGACATATCACACTCCATGTAGTTCTAGTCTTGGAAGCAAGATAAAGGATATACGTGCATACATAGATACCTACTATACCAAACTATGCCAGTCTAGATATTAGTCCGAGGCGGAAATGCTATGTAATGGAATGCAATGGTAATTTGTTCTCCAAATAAAAGTATGAGGGTATGGTGTGCAATGTTCATATATGAATAAGTATTCTCAGCAATTGTACATATCTCTATGCTACCTAGACATGTATCCTCCCCACCTTACCTCATGTGACTCCATAGCTTGTATATATGGAAGCAGGAAACTCCCCCTCCCTCCCTCCCCTAACTATTAATCTAAGAATAAAGCACTCACTCAAGAACATATCCGAAAGCAAAAGCAAAAACAAATGTTATAACACAGCAATAAATGAATCTATGCGGATCTCCACGCCGCAACTTACAACCAAGCGAAGCTGAACAAAGCTGAGGAAAGTCTACCTGGGGTAGCTATACATTCAGTCCATGGTATTCTATGCTATTCCAAAGAAAGAAACAAGCCACAGCCACAGCCAGGACACCAAAACGCCATACCCTGCTATGCTATGCCAGTAGCAATCTAATAACAATAAACACACTATCTCATCCCATTTCATCCCTCCCTTTACACCATATGGATGCAGTCCCCACTCTAGCTACTTAACCATTCATCCTCTGCCTCTTAACATCACCGCCTGCCTCGGCACCCGCACCAGCACCGCTAACAGCCCCATTAGCGCCCAAATCCGTCAACGGCGGTCTCCCAGTACTAGCATCAACGGGTCTTTTAAATGTAGGAGGTTTATAAGACCCCCGGTTCCCCATCGGACTAGGGTTATGTCCCCCTGGCGCGCCAATCTTCCTTATGCCATCTAAAGGCATCGCTGGACTTCGGAATCCACCACCTCCAGCAGCAGCAGGAACAGGGGACTGGCTAGAACTAGCCCCGGGAAGCGCAACGTGTTTCAGGTCCCGAGTAAGCGGTTTACTGGTTTTGCGATCCACACCAGGCGTTCTTCGGATCGAAGGAGATTCGGCGTTGGGGTTGAAAGGGTGTTCTGTTACGGCTGGGGGGCCTTGGCCCTGGGCTTCGGGAGCGACGGCCCGCGCGCGGAACAGAACCCCATGCCTT